TATGGATGGATGGATGGATGGATGGATGGATGGATGGATGGATGGATGGATGGATGGAAGCCTTAAAGTTAGACTTCTGTATATTCATTGTCAGCAAAAAATAATAATTTCTGCCTCTCTATTGTTCAAACTGAGCCCTGCCATGTCGTATTTTTGGAACCTGTCTGTGTATTTTGTGGTGGTATAAAGTCCTGCCTACTCATGCACACACAGATGGTTTTTTTTAGGCTTCAAATAACTAAATACAGTTAAACAGGATAGATTTTTTTTTTAATGTTCATACTTTGTTTCTGTATCAAGATTCAAGGCATGAACTATGGAAATCAACAGAAGTTCACTCCTGAAGGGGAAAACATCTGATGTTCATGTTTGTGCTGATGTTCAATGTTTTATGTTATGAGTGCTTAGTGTATATTTAGTTGATGTTTTTCTTAGTTCATATCTTAGATGTTACTGTTTTTCTTATACATTTTATTGTTGGATGTAACTGGGACCCTGTGTACATAATTTCGCTCCACCACATGTACCACATGAGGTGCGAATGACAATAAAGAAACTCTGACTCTGACTCTGACTCTGACATCTGATCTTCATTCATCATTTTATTTTTTAGTATAAATTGTTTTTATGAATTTAAATGTATACTGCAGTCAGCCAACATGGAGCAATCTTCTCATTTTAGTATCAACTTCTGCATTAGGACCTTTGTGTCCAGTTAATATTATTTGACCATCTAGCCTTTATCCACTTCTTCCTTTTCCAGTCAAAGTGAAGCTGATGACCACCTCCAGCAGTCATGGTGCGAGGGGTGGGTACACCCTGGACAGGTCTCCAGTCCATCACAGGACTTTAATACATGTCAGTTCAAGTCATTCTGTTATAAAAACCCAGACTGATGGAGTCCTGCAGCTCTGGTAATCTTTCTTTAGTCCCATCTCCACACAGGATTTCTGACGATCAGTTGGAGTGACCATCAGGTTCTTGGTCGTCTCTCTCATGGAGGTCCTTCCCACCTGTTGCTCAGTGTGGCCAGGTGACCAGCTGCTGGAATAGATCTGCTTGTACCAAACATTTCTGAGAAGTATGGAGACCACTGAGGTCTGAGGAACCTTCAGTTCAGTAGGCTTCCTCAGATCTGTGACGTGCAACATTCTCGTCTCTGAGCTCTGCAGGCAGTTCCTTTGACCTCATGGTTTGGTTTTTGCTGTGATCGTTGTCTAGGAAGTTTTCTACAGAGAGGTGTATGCCTTACCAATCACGTAGAATCAAATCAGTGACCACAGGTGGACTTTAATCAAGGTGCAGATACTCTCCAAAAATTAAAATACAGGAGACAACCGAGCAAACTGTTTTCTGTTTTTATTGTTTTGCAAAACATTATAAAAAAAATCTGTTTTTACTTTGTCATTATGGAAACCCAATCATGGATCATCAACTGTGACCATAAAAGCACGACACAGCTTCTTGGGCTCTGGTCCACAGAGGGACCTGATGGACCGTTGCAGACTTATACAAATAAGAAAAATAATGTTCCAGAGATGAAGCAGACACTGCAATTTCAAAATCCAGCTTCATGAATGTTCTGAAAAGCTCACACACAATTATCACCATGAACTGGGTTGGGTTAATGTGTGTGTGAGAATCACAGATTAGATGCACGACTAATGAATCCATGAGCACATTTATTAACCACAAGTGTAGATTCATGGATCAATCTTTTTTAATCATTTGCAGAGCGTGCACTACGTGTTGCTCTGTTGTCACAACCACTCCCAAGAAATATTCATACCCTTCGGCACTATAAGTCTTTCGTGAAGCAGTGCAGGATCCACTAGATCCTGCTCTTTCCAAATTACAGCAGTTTAAATGAAAGTGTCTGTTTTAATCAATATACAGCAATATCAAATGGGCCGCAGTATCTGCTCATACAAATATAAAAATATAGATGAGTAGTGACTTTTAAATATTCAGTCTGGGTAGAATGGGTGAATTCAAAGAATAAATGTAACTGTTGTGACTGGTTTTATACTGGCCCTTGGTCTAAGGATGCTTTTCCAGTCGGGACGCTTGTTTCTACCACTTCTGAAAATAAAACAACTCAGAGCATCCCATCATCTGTTTTTTATTATTGTAGTTTATTTTGAAAAGATTAAGAGTGAAAGCTATTTGAGGAAAAAAATGGAATAATTATGAACTACTTTGAAAAGTGTTTTTGCTTAAAATGCTCCAGGGGTTGTCTTACTGGTCTGCAGCTGGTAAGAGAGTAGCTGATGATTAAACATTATGAGAAAATATGAAAATCTTTAATTGCTACCTAACTAAATGATGTGTGTTTGAAACCAAGCAACCCAAGAGTCATGGGGTTCAGCAGTTTTTAAAAACCATGGCTAGCTTGTAGCCACTGAACAGCTGCCCCATCCTGCTTTGGATCCAGCACATGCATTTGATTTATTCTGACATAAAAGTAATTTGGACAACTATTTTAATCATTATTATTCATCGTCAGTGTGGTTTTTAGACCTGGATACCTGCCCCAGATGTTTTCTGCCAAAGCAGTGCTCCAGACTAAATCTGTTGCACAAACTTTCTGAACATTTTCAAAACTCAAGGAAAATTCCACATAAAGCAGGGAAGAGCCAAGCTGAGTAGAACCAAACCACATCCTCAATGAACTGTTTAATGAATTAAAAAACACAATTTGTGGAGAAAAGTCTAAGAACAGGCAGAAAAAACAACATAAATGTTGAAACACTCACTGTCACAGACGTAAGGCTTGTCTCGGTCTTCAATGGTGGGCAGCTCTAGTCTCTTTCTCATGCCTCCAACACCATAAGCCTGCAAAACACACACACACACACACACACACACACAGACACACACAAACAAGACAACGTGTTAGGACACAGACACATGAAAAGGTAAATACGTGAGGTACGCTAAAAATGTTTGAATGTTCACACTTCTCACGTGTCTTCTTGTGTGCACACACACACAGAATAAAAAACATAACAGCACAGGGCTCACTTGTGAGTTCAAGCGTCTGTGCGCGTGCACACACATATACACGTGCACACACACATGCACGTTTAGATTCTAATCATCTGCTCTCAGTGTAAAGCTACACTTCCAGCAGGAGGGGGCTGATGACACCTAGCAGGGGAGCAACAGTTCCAATTAGCAACCCTGGTGTCTGTGTGTGTGTGTGTGTGT